CCTCTGCCCTGCGTCTCATGGGGAAAGTGGGTACAGCTGCCAGCCCAGCAAAAGATACCTGCCCAACACTGAGATGCTGGGGCAAACTGGGAGTCCTCAAGGAGCGCAGGAGCAGCCATGAGGGGCCCTTGGGGGACGGGGTGTCTGCACTGTTTGTTTGCTGTTGGGGAGAGGGCATCAAGGCCCGGGGAGGGCTGCTTCTCTCTGGTGTGGGGTCAAAGGGGTGATGGTAGGTGAGGCTGGCTCCTCTCAGTCCTCACCCTGGCACCATGTGCCTGCTACTGCTGTGAGCTCCAGAGCTTGCCTGGCTAGCGCCTGTCCTGGGGTGCTATCCCTCTCCACCAGCACGCTCAGACCTCCTGGAGGGGCAGGCAGCCAGCCGTGGCCCCAGCAGGAGCCTCCTGTCCTTTCCTGCCTGCTCTCGGCCGCGGGGCGGGTGCTGCTCTCCATGCCCTGCTCCAGCTGCTGGGCACTATCGCTGCTCTTGCTGTAGCGCAGCCTCTGTGGCTCCTGACTCTCATTTGCAGGGATGGGTTTCAATTGTGCTTACTGGGTCTCAGGCAGGGTAAACCACTAACATGGGAGTGGAGGTGTACGATACTGTAAATAAAATGTTTTTTGAGATACTAGATGGGAACTGTGTCCTTCTTGGCATCTCTGCCTGAAGTCTGTGGGGTGCCTGGGCTCTCCCCTCATCTTCTTGGGGAGGTGGGACTGATGTCTCCACCACTGTTTTGCTGACTTGTTGGACTTCAGTTAGTCACAGGGGTCTTAGCATTTCCAGAATGTTTTGTAGCAGAAACAAAACTTTTCCTGCAGCATAGACTGCCTGGTGCAGCTGCAGTGGGAGCAGGGCTCTCGCAGGCTCTGACTGCATCCACTCAGCCCTTGTGTTTCTAGCCGGGAGCCTCCTGTCTCAAAGACTGTGGCCTTCTGCAGTCTCTGAGGCTGCCTGTTTATGTCCCAGCTCCTGCAGCGTTGATGTTTGGAGATCTTGCAGCTGGAGCTCTGTGGTTGGCCCAGCTCTTGGCTGAGCCCTGCACCTACCAGCTCCAGTTCCCAGCCTGCTCCCAGCTCCTTCCCCCCTGCAGCCCCGTGGTGTCCAGCTGACGCAGGATAGTGGGGCACGGCCCTGCCAGCCATGGGAAAGGTGCTGGGAGGAGGCTTTTCGCCTTGTCATTTTTCTGGCAGGGAAGCAGCTCTTCAAAGGACAAAGCTGCCTCCTGCAGCCCAGCCTGGGGCTGTGCCTGGTGGCAGAGCTCCCAGGGCTGGTGGGCGAGGGGAGCGGGAGCAGCCGGAGCCCCGGCAGGGAGGGACGGTGGCAAAGGAGAAGCAGAGACGGAGTCGTGCGTAGCTCTGTCAGTTGCTGACGTTTATTGCACAGGATGGGTTGGATGGGAAGGGGGACGCTTGGAGCGGGGGCCTGTCCCGCCGGCTGCGGAGCGACCGG